CAACGTCATCCATCCCTCTGCCCCTCACCATCTCCTTGGGGGGGGCTGGAGAGTCAACGTGTCACCCCGGGGCGGTGTCATTGTCACCCCGTGAGTCTGTCTCTCCCTTCCCCGAGCTCCAGGGCCCCCCCGGTGTCCCCCCCCCTCGGCTGCCTCCACGCTTTGAGGCTGATGCAAAGTGAGGTTTGAGGTTCACCAGAGCTTGGCTTTTATCCCTGGTGCTTGTGTAATTCCCCCCCCCCTCTTCTCCAGAGGAGGAGGAGCAGCAGGAGGAGGAGGAGGAGGAGGAAATCTTGCTTCCTGCAGCTTCAGCCTCACCTGCTAAATATAGAGGGCAGGGGGGTGGGATTCCCCCCCCAGACAAGGCTGTTCCCTCCTAGAGGAGCCATGACCGGGGCTTCCCGTGTTTCAACGGCGCCGGAGCCGTCGGTGACGCAAATTCTGGGCTCCTCACCCTCTTCCCCGGCCTCCAAATTCCTTCCAAATCAATATTCCCTCTGTTTCATGGAGGGTGGGATGGGCCATGGAGCCCCACGTGTCCTCTGCACCTCAAAAATGAAATAAGAAGCAGGTTTTGGTGCTGGACAAGGTCCCCAGGGCTCCTGCTGGGTGGGGACACTGCCCAAAATCCTTCTCCTGCCATGGGGAGAAGGGTGCTGGGTCCTACACAGCTCCTGGTGCTTTTGTGCCACCCCGGCCACTGGCAGAAGCCCGTTGGTGGGTGGGTGGTGACATGGGTGAATTTGGGGCCAGCCTAGGATTTTGGGTCCCCTCGAGTGCTGATGCCACCGTCAATCGACCTCATCCAGTTTGGTGGATGGTTCTGCCACGGTGGGGACCAACCCAAGGGCTTCCAGAGCTTCCCCAGCCCCCGTGGGGACAGCAGGGATGGAAATAAGTGATGGATACCCCTCCGGGGGGGGGACACGGACCCCAAACACCAGGCTCTGATGGTTTCTCCTCTCCTCCCACCATGGCAGGTCCCTCACTATGAGTTCCTGGAGCTGAAGGTGGAGCGGCAGAGGACAGCCTACCTCAGGGACAAGCTCAACAAGGCCATGGCCAAGGAGATGGCGAGTTAACGGTGCCGTGTCCCCCCCCCAAAGTTAAAAACCTGCTCCAATAAACCCCCCCACTGTACAGTGCTGTGGCCTGGGCTGAGGGTTGGCATCAGGGACGGGGGGGGACACACACACATGGATTTGCTTCTCCACGGGGTTGGTGGTGGCTCCACCGATGGTGGGTGGGACCATGTTCACCACGGCTCAGCTTCCTGGGTTTGAGCCAGGGTTTGGGATTAAGATCCATCCTGACCTCTCTTATTCTGTTTTATTATTAGCCAGGGTTTATCCTGGTGCTGGGGGGGCAAGGGGGGGGACACACGTGGGGACACACACACAACTGTGTGGCTTCCACCTGGAGTGGTGGAACGGGCACAAGAAAGCCCTGGTGGGCTCTATCTGGGAAGGGTTGGATCCTGCCCCACAGAGTGACCCCAGAACCGCCCCCCCCGTGTCCTATGGGACACGTGCAGCCGGGCCACGGGGTATGGGGGGGAAAAAAGGGGGGGGGACACACAAGGTGGGTCAGGAAAACCCTCCGGAGCCGACTGCCAGGAAGAGCTTTGGGGAGGGATTAAGGACCATCTGGCCCTGGGGACACCGCTGGGTCTCACCGTGTCCTTTCCACCCCTCCACCTGGTGTGGGGGGGTCACAACCTGGTGTCCCCCCCCCCCCCCTTGCTGGGGGGGGGTGGAACAGGACACAGCGGTGCCGGAGTCACCGGGAGCTGCTGAGTCACGGCTCGGGGCTGCTCCTGGCACCGGCGTCACGGC